GCCATTGTTGGCAAGGCAATGGTAAAGTCGCAGTTCCAATTCATCCCGCACTTTTTGAAGCATCTCTGGTGTAATCCGCTCACACTCCTCCACTATTCTACGTCTAAGTTCAGGAATATCGCGAGGTTGAGTTTTATGCACCACAGTTTTTAGATGTCCCCATAAAAAAAATTCAAGGGGCGTTAGGTCGGGTGATCTCACTGGCCATTCTATAGCACCCCTTCTTCCGATCCATTTATCTGAAAATATCTCATTAAGCCAATTTCGTACTGGCAAGGCATAATGTGGAGGTACTCCGTCCTGTTGAAAAAATAGGTTTTCTTCGTCTAGTAACAAATTTCCATCTTGATCTATTTGGTTTTCTAAGGATTCGGTTATAAGAAGATTTATTAGATTTTTTAATAAGTTCAAATACAATTCCCCAGTTAAATTTTCCTCCATGAAAATAGGACCAATAATTTTATTATCAAGAATTCTGGCCCATACGTTGATTTTCTGAGGATATTGGCTGTGCTCTTCCCGAAAAACATGTGGATTTGTATTGTCCCAGTACCTACAATTATTATGTTTATTGACAAATCCATTTAAAAAGAAACCTGCCTCGTCAGTAAAACAAATATTTTTAATAAAATTATGGTCTTCATTTGCCCTTTGAGTCATTAATTCGCAAAATTCTACTATTCTGTCATAATCATCCTCAGCAAGCTGTTAAGCTGTTGTAAAAGCTGTATTTTGTAAGGAAAGAATTTATTTAGCCGTAACGTTTTATGCACAGAGCCAACGGAAATATTTGTTAATCTGGAGACTTTTGGTATTGATGTTTTGAGGTTCCATGACAAAATTACCTAAAATCTCAACTTGTGCAGCTTCAGTTTAAACTCTACGCATGGGCGAAGTTATGTCATCAGATCTAGGGGGGCTAAAGCCCTAGCCCTAGTCATATAATATATAATAGTTCTAGAGGTATACCTACTGAAGTTAAGTAAAAAAATTCTGGCGAATCTATGAAAATGGATAAAATATCATATATCGATTCTAAACAAAGTTTTGCAAAATTTCAATATTGTGAATTTGTAGATATCCATTTATGGTAAAAAAACTAAATTTTACGACTTGCACTTGGAAAATAATGAATACTTCAGTTTTGATTTTGACATTAACACCATATAGATTGCAATTTGCTGGGGACTTTTTCGCAGATTTCATTTTTAACTTAAACACTATCACATACTATAAGAAATAAACAAATTTAAAGCTAAAAAGTAAGAAAAACTCGAATTGTAATTGATACAAATTAAAATGTAAACAATGAACTCGTTGCCAAATGATGAACTGATTTTAAAACAAAATTAATAAATGAACTGAAATTAAAAAAAAATTAATATAATAAATCGGTTTTATAAAAAAGTCCTTAAATAAATATAGAGTATGATTACATATTACTATACACAAATTTTGATTCTTAAATAAAAGGTCTTATCCACTTCTTCAAGAGCTAAAATCCGACGACGTAGCGAAATTTTGCTACTTCTGGCAACAATGAATGATATCCTACTTATAGGGACTCCAGAGGGCGTATCACTTAGCTTGAATCAAGAATGAAGATCCTTCCAATTATATCTTCTCAAGGAAGTGTAGGATTTGGAGTGGCTTCAAGTTAGGTAAATCTCCCTCTTCTATTTGATATGCTCATAGGTATAGTGCCCTTGGATTCTGAAGTGCTACACATTTAGTTAGAATGTAAATGAAGATTTTTTCCTCCTCCTCACAAAATCTGTACTATCTTCTACTACTCTCAGTTTACTAAGGAGTAATTTTAGTTGGCAATGTCCAGTAAGGATCCCTGTTACAAGTGTTCTCACTACTAGAAAAATGTATATTATGATAACAGCTTAAAATACAATCTGGCTAATGTGGAACACCCCGAAAGCCTTGCCAGACTCGTCTAAGGCAATCTCTTATTGAAATTTGCAATATCTCATTGTAATCCTTGTTTTAGACTAATTAACTCGTATTATAAATTTTAGCTACATTTACTTATTACCTGTTTATTTATGTGATCAAAAGAAGCCATTAATAAATTTATTGACATGTTCACTTGAAACAAAGCAGAGAAGTTTGTGTGTACATGCACTGTGTAGGAATGGCACCCGGCACAGTGGCCATTGTGCCGGACACAACCAATTGTGATACGAAAACTTTTAAAAGTAGTTTCGCTGTCGGCTGCAGTTTCGGCCAGTTTTCCGCCGAAACCGAAACTGTAGTTGAAACTATTATTTAAAGCCAAAGTTGGCCAAAACCGTAACCGAACCTTCGGTCGGACACTACTTGTGAGTCTGGCAGGCCTCCGTAATTGTAATTGTCAGCCAGACGTGTATTTTCACTTACGAATATTTTGAAATTTATCCTAAGTAGATGGATAATGTTCTTGAAATATGCGTGAGTGTGCAAAAATTTACTGATAATAATTTAGGCACGTTTGGTATTGGGTAAGAAAGTTTTACACCAATTTATCCAAATTTCAAAACTTGACAGGCATGCATTAAAACGACTAAAATCAAATTTTCAAAGGTTCTGAAAGTTACTTTGCCATACCACAGAATATAAAACATATGTTTTATATGCTGTGGCCATACCATGACCATTTGTCATATTTGAAGTCGTTTAGTTGACGCGAAAAACCTAATTATTATTTTACATAAAATAAATGTAGTGTATTTCTACCTAGTTATAATTGGTATTAAATAAAATATTAACCACTGAAACGGCAAATTTTTTATATGCATGAAAGAGCTGCTCAACTGTCAAAAAAAAATTCAGTATAATTTCGTTCAGGGTACCCACCAAAAGAAAAATTTCCGGAAATTTTTCTGGTTGTCATGAAAGTGTTTTAAAATAAAAGCAGTTAATTGGCTATAAAATGGAGGTGTAAAATTATAATTTAATCTATCACGTGACAAATTTTCAAACCCGGGAAAATAAAAGCAAAAATATTATATTTTTTTCATTTAGAAGATATTACCAGACTCATTAGCCAATTTCGTAAATCAGCCAGTCTTATTATTATAAACAGTTCATGATTGTATCAATTTATATGCTCAATTTTCTGCCACACTCACTTTCCACTATCTGAGATAATCCAAACTGCCATTTTTATAAGCAATATGTTCTAGTTTAGTAAATGTAAAATAGTTATGACTGGGAAAATAAGTGTCAGACTCAAAAATTTTGTTTTTTGTCACTAAGAGAACAGTTTATTTTTCATATACACCGACTGGAAAAATGAATACGAAAAAAATTCACTGCCTCCTGAACTAAATGTAAAATTGCAGAATCAAATGGCACGATTCTTTTTATTTTTTAATTTCTGTTCTGAAATCTGAAATGTTTGGGTGGATGTGCGATAAATGTTCGAATTATTTTTAGGGGGGCTAATTTGGTTTTTGGGGGGCTTAGCCCCCCCAAGCCCCCCTTAACTTCGCCTATGACTCTACGATTCCTTACAGTTTTATTGCACACACTTCCAGTTTCTTGAAATGTATGAACTAAATCCAACACATACTGATGCCCAACATTTTTATCGGGATGTCTTTGATTAAAAATACGAGCAGTTCTGCGTGCACAGCGTTGTTCTTCACCATAAATAAAGAATATTTCAATTCTTTCTTGTAAAGAATAAACCATTGTCAAAATTAAATTGTCAGTACACAACGAAACCAATAATCTACTAATTAATAAATTGTTTTAATTTACGGTCAAAAATATCTTACGCAAAAAACATTTAAGGCTTTTTGCTAACTTGTTTATCTCGGTATTTATACTCATGCATTTTAATTCAATATTTTTTCCGGTTTCTAGGTTATAACTTGGTGAAAAATTAATCCGATTTAAAAAAAAATGTGTCAAAAGATTGGAAAAAAAAAGATACCTTTAAGAAGAGCTATCACACGATACCCCTTTCTATTTAAAATTTTAGAAGTGATGTTCATCACCGCTTAGGGGATGAAACTGCACGGTTACATGTATTTGTAAAATGTGTCCCCCCCGTAAATATAAATTAACGTGTTTTTTTGTTTTTTTGTTTTTTTTGTTTTTTTGTTTTTTTGTTTTTTTGTTTTTTTGTTTTTTTGTTTTTTTGTTTTTTTGTTTTTTTGTTTTTTTGTTTTTTTGTTTTTTTGTTTTTTTGTTTTTTTTGTTTTTTTGTTTTTTTGTTTTTTGTTTTTTTGTTTTTTTGTTTTTTTGTTTTTTTGTTTTTTTGTTTTTTTGTTTTTTTGTTTTTTTGTTTTTTTGTTTTTTTGTTTTTTGTTTTTTTGTTTTTTTGTTTTTTTGTTTTTTTGTTTTTTTGTTTTTTTGTTTTTTTGTTTTTTTGTTTTTTTGTTTTTTTGTTTTTTTGTTTTTTTGTTTTTTTGTTTTTTTGTTTTTTTGTTTTTTTGTTTTTTTGTTTTTTTGTTTTTTTGTTTTTTTGTTTTTTTGTTTTTTTGTTTTTTTGTTTTTTTGTTTTTTTGTTTTTTTGTTTTTTTGTTTTTTTGTTTTTTTGTTTTTTTGTTTTTTTGTTTTTTTGTTTTTTTTTTGTTTTTTTGTTTTTTTGTTTTTTTGTTCTCCTCTGTTCTATTTTTTACTTTTTTATAATTTTGTATTAAATTTGTAAATTTAATTATCTATTGATTAAATAATCATATTTATTATTCTCCTTAAAAAATAAGGAAACTAACAAGTTGGTGTCTTATATTTTTTGAAAACAAATTAAAACAATACAAATTAGATCTTTCTGTTTTAATTAAAAAAATTAAAGATTACAAATCGATATGCTTTTATTTCGATATAACCTTATTTGTAATAGCTAATAAATAAATAAATAAATAATAAATAATCCCAAACTTAGAAAGTATCAAAGCGCAAAGTTAAAATAATATTTGCAGTTGTTTCAGTGTAAGACTTATCGAACTACATGAGACATGAGCCCGCAAAACAAAGAAACGAACATTTTCTGTTTCAGCATTGAATCCTCTATAGCTCGACCTCGCGCGGTGTGTGTTGCTCTTAATAGTAAATTATATTTGGGATATAAAACTGAAAACAAAACAAACTAAAACAAACCAAAAGTGAAATTTATTATACCAACATGACATTATTGGCAATCAATTTTTCGGTGTATTTGCTTCTGATAACAACTGTTAAATACCATGAAGCTGTCGTGTGTGGAACACATCCAGATTCCTGTCCACCAGAGAAGATAAAATATCGCCCATTGGATGGATCTTGCAATAATTTAAAAAATCCTGGAATGGGGACTGCAAATCAGCCGTATGCTAGGTGGATTGAGAAGCCCAATTATTCTGATGGTAATTTATTTTATTTTTTTGTTTGTAATAAAAGCAATGTGCACATAACAGACGAAGCTGCCAATGTATTACAATCCTCCTATTAAGGGTAAAAAACTATCTAATAGTAGCACTCAACTAAATTCCGACTTGTCATACCACCGAAAACCTTGAATGTAAAAAATTCTGTACGTAATCACAGTAAAACTGAACAAGTAGTCAAAATAAAGCAGATATTAAAATCCACTCATAAAATAAATCTATATAATTAATTTTATTATTAATTGTTATATTTAGGTGGCTTTGTTTCGTTTGAATTAAAATTTAATATTTATTTACAGTGACCTTCTGTGTAGGTCACTTAACTGTTTGTTCACTTTTACCTAAAATTAACTCAATAGCAGAAATTATTCATTGATGAAAATTTATTGCACATAGTTTAATTAGAAATGATAGGTTGGCAAAGCGGGGAGGTGGTTTCGGTATACAGGGTGTATCTAAATAACACCTAAAAAATTAAAGGGGTGATTCTGTGATGAAAATTAATGTGAGTGTTTGGTATAAAATTTTTTGAAAAAACCCTCCCCGGAAAAGTTACACCCCTTCGAAAATTAAAAAAAATAATGGTTTTTCTTTTTTATTTTCCCTGTATATTAAGCTAAAGACACGAAACTTGGTAAACATTATCTGTGAATAAAAGTACACTTTTTAAAATTTTTTCAACCCTGAAGTATGCTTAGAAGAGGTTGAAATAATCAACCCCTAAGATATTTTTTCTTACAACTTTTTTTTAAATGAAAATTTTTTCTTTAAAAAAGTATGACTAAAAAGCCCAATTCATTGACTAACTTTTTTAACTCTACAAGTTTTTTCTAAAACTTGAGCATTTACGAGAAAAAAAATCAAATGCAATGCATTTTCAAAAAGATGAGCTAACGCGAGTGTATTTTGCGTCAAGTATAGTGGCCTGTGCTTTGCATAAAAACATTAATACTGTTACCAGGATTGTGTAGTGTCATTTTCTGTTACCCATCTTACTGTTTCACAAGTTTTATGATTGTGTATTGTAGGAAATATTAGTTAATTGAAAATATGAATGCATATATATAGAAGATATCCTACTGAAAATGTGTATCAAGAAACCCAGATATTTGACTTACGACAGTTATTCTGTCAAGCAGCACTCACCCATCAATTTCAAAATCAAGATGATCTGCAAACACCGTTGCATCAATATGATACAAGAAATAGAGATAATTATTTGCTACCACGAACGAATAAATCAATTGGACAAAATAGCTATCGGTTTTTGGGACCAAAAATCTTTAATAACATTCCAACGGAGCTTCGAGAAATAAAAACAGTAAAAAAATTTAAAAGATGTGTAAAAGAATTTATAACAAAAACACCGCGAACTTTTTTCCGTAATATAATCGAATAAAAAAAAATAGAAATTAAATAATTAGAAAGTATATTATAAACGTTAAAGAATCTGAATATTTTAAAAATGTTCTTTGTCTATGTAGAAGTTATGTTCGTTGAATGAGATACTTATACCGAGGTATATTGGAAATAAATTTTACGTTACATATTCAACCACGATCACCCTGTAAGTACGAATTTTTTTTCCGTTTGCAAATAGTACAAGGGGTATATTCTTAATCTATAACAGTATATCAAAATATTTAATATAAGAAATGTCTCTTGAAAATATCTACTTATGTCAGTATATATTTATTGTTTAAAATTCATATATTTGGTACATATTAAGTTATATTTGGAAAACTAGTCATAGGATCTAATTTTACCAATAAGAATTTTGAACGAGAAGATCGAGTACTATACGATATCATATATTGAGAGACTTTTACGGTGATATATTTTTTTTTTTCGGTATTTTAGCTATTTTTGTTCGGTGGGAATATCTACTTTGACCAAAAAAGATTTGCCGAATCATTATTTACCCTCTAAGGTACAATATTTTAATTATAGTAGTTAATTATGTATTTTGGCTACACAGAATGAGCAAAAAACTTTTAAAAATATTTAAGGGTGATTTATGGTGTCTATTTTAAAGAATTAGGGATTTCTAACTTCAACACCCTGTATCTCAAAATCTAGTCATAGAATACGATTGGGCCCATGGTCACTTTTGATGGGGACATCAAGTTATTTAACATATCAAAAATTCAGACATTTTGACGGTACTCCCGTTTGCATAAGAAAAGTGCGTGGTCCTTTGATATTACATAGTAATAATGCCGAAACGTACTCTAGTTTTATCTAATAAATATTATGATACGTTGTAGAAACGTTTCTAAAATATTTGTGAAATATCAATGCGATACAAACCTGTCATAATACTGTCCTGTATAATATTTATAATTTTGATTCTAACCTATGAAACGTTATTCCAGTCGATTTTTCACAAAAACGTATAACGTATAGAGCTGGAACGTATAACACAGCAAGGCATTATATACTTTATAAGTTTGTAACACTCAGAATTAAATTCAAATTAAATTACACAAATAACAGTAAAAATATAACCTTTAAAATTGACAATTTGCACTCACAGTAATGGCGGACCGGTCCCACTTTTCGCTTACGCTTGTCGTATCCCTAGGTTGCCAGATCAATGGCACAGCCAGAGAGCAATGATGTACCAAAAAATATAGATTAACACGTATGAAAATAAAAATATTAAAATTAAATTTATATTTTTATGTTATTTATGTAATTTTAAAATAATGTTTTTATGAAATTGAACTGGGTGTTCACTGCACAAATGAACCAATGGAGAAACCGCTCCTGCTTAGAGGGGAAAAGAATGGCCCTTAAACTGCCTGCAAATTTGATAAACGAAATGGCGTCACTTATCACATAAAGTAAATTAACCAAACCTACTAACATGCTTTATATTTCTAAACACATTCTAATTCCCATACAACAGCACAACACACAAACAAAAAAAAAACAAAATAGCAAAACTCGAAAACAAACGCAAACCTTTAATTATTTAATATATAGAGTTGACTACTACATTACCTATCTGTTTGACCTTTTACTACTAATAATAAACAACGCATTAGAGATACTAAAACATTTATAAATTATAAAAAACTTCAATTAGATTTAGATAAAGTTAATTGGGAAGATATATATAATGAACTAAACGTAGATATGTGGGAAAGATTCATATCTAAATTAAAACATTATATAAATAAAAATACAATGACAGTTTTTACAAAAAATCGAATAACGTATAAGAAAAAGTGGATAACAGCTGGCTTATTTAAATCTATAAAAGAAAAAGAAAAACTTTACAAACAAACTTTACGGAATCCAGAAAATGTTGAAATTAGAGAAAGGTATAGACATTACAACAATAAATTAAATAATATAATAAAGAAAGCCAAACGAACATATTTTTCCCAACAAATTAATAATAATCAAAATACATCTAAGGCTTTATGGGACTGTGTGAATGATATTTGTGGAAAACAGAGACATGAAACAAAAATTGATGAAATAAAATTAATTGATGGTACGAAGGTTACTGATAATGATGAAATTGCTAACCACTTTAATAATTATTTCAGCACTATAGGCGAAGTGTTGGCCAATAAAATACCAAATTTACAGAATTATAAGGATAATTTAGACTTCTTGGAAAACACTATGTATATGTATCAAACTGACCAGTTAGAAGTGTTAGAAATCATAAAAAATCTTAAAAACAAAAAATCGCCAGGTATTGATCAAATAAGAGCAGAAAGTATAAAACAAATCGCTTGTAAAATTATTCATCCATTAACATTCTTAATAAATAAAAGTCTAGATACAGGGTGTTTTCCAAAAGTACTGAAGTGTTCTGTAATAAAACCTCTGTACAAAAGTGGCAGTAAACTTGATATTGGTAATTATAGACCAGTATCTCTTCTGTCGAATTTTTCAAAAATTTTGGAAAAAATAATGAAAAAGAGACTATGCAGTTTTTTAAATAAGTTTAAAATTCTATCGAATAATCAATATGGCTTTAGAGAGGGAAAATCGACCGATGATGCTATCTATAAATTAACTTCAACTATATATGATGCATTAGATAAAAAAACACCTATACTTAGTATCTTTCTCGACCTCTCAAAAGCCTTTGACACTGTATGTCATAAAAAATTGTTGGAAAAATTAGAAAAATATGGGATTCGTGGGAAAGCATTCGATATCTTTGAAAGTTACCTATCAAATAGAGAACAGTTAGTACAAATTAACAATGTTAATAGTAACAAACAGATCGTAACCTGTGGTGTCCCACAAGGTACTGTTTTAGGACCTGTTCTTTTCACACTCTACATTAATAGCCTACTACACTTAGACACATCCGCTAAAATAATAAGTTTCACTGATGATACTGCCGTTCTATACTCTTCATCTTCATGGAGGAACCTAAAAGAAAAAGTATAAACTGATTTCCCTAAAATATCAAAATGGCTTCAGTTTAATAAATTAACATTAAATTATGAGAAAACTAGATACTTACCATTTTCCTCTTATGCGACAGGCCTTCCTATGTTGGGTCCATTAAGTGTGGGATTAAATAACGAAGTTTGTGAATCTTCATCAATAAAATATTTAGGGATTATTGTGGATAGGCATATGAAATGGGACCTTCACTTAAAACAACTAATAAAAAAGTTAAGATGTTTTCTACCAAAATTTAGATATCTATGTGACTTTCTAAACTTACATTGCTTAAGGTCTCTTTATTTTTCTTTAATACAATCCTTATTAGTATACGGTATCATTGGTTGGGGAGGTGTGTATGATAATACTTTAAAAAATGTTAATGTAATACAAAAATGGATTTTAAGAATAATTTACAAAAAAAATATTTTATACCCCAGTAATGCACTTTACGAAGATTCCAATATCTACGATATCAGACAACTATATTTTCTACAGATATTATTATTTTTAAAGAAATCTAAGATTATATTAGTATCTCATGACCATCCCTACAATACACGTCGATCTGATGCTATTTTATTTCCGCGATCTGAAAAAAGTATTGGCCAAAGATGTAGTGATTATCTGGCTCCTAGAATTTTTGTTTTGATACCTCAAGAAATAAAGGACATTTCTTTGTACAGCAGATACAAAAATAAACTAAAAATCTGGCTCCAAAAAGAGCGTAAATTAGCAAGTGATGCTATAAATCAGATTTAAAAATTTTAAAATTTAAAAATATGTATATGTATCTTTCTCTCCATAAAAACTGTCACGATAATAAGATTGGTCTATTTCTTTATGTTTTTATTTATATTATCTTTCTATTTTTAATATTTTAATTGTTATTTGTAATCTAATTTGTATTTGCATTTTATATTTTTTTAGGTTTGTTCTAATTTTAAAAAATTATTTAAATTTATGTTGTTGGGTTTTATAGGGACATATATGCTTTGTATGTATTGTATATGTGCCTTATCACATACAAGCAGTTTTAAACTGCTTCTGTGATTGCCCCCTATCGTTTATTCAATTTTTTTTAACTGTATATGTATCAATATTATCTGAATAAACATTATTATTATTATTATTATTATTATTTTACATTATAACCTGTTTTGTAAACTTTTTAACATGTTTCAGAAATATTTCTGAATAATTTTAGTAAAATATTTCACTTTCACATTTCGGCAGATTCATCGACCCATCAAGTACATCTGCAACCGATTTATTGTCACTATTTGCTAAAAGCGAGCGATAAACAGTTTTTTTACAAAATATGGCTGTCAGTCGATATTTTAGATGTACACATTAAAATGTACTGCGTTTATGTACGTCTGGAGCAGTTATTTGACTTGCGTATATATACGTTTAGAGCAGCTAAAAGGTTAATTACAATTAAAGACAACAACGTATGTCCAAAAATGCCTGAATTAAGTTAACTGTGAAAATTAGTGCCCAATCGTTATATGTAATGGTCGTTTCCTACAAAAGTAACAGAAATAGAAATATTCACTGTCTATTATCACTGGTATAATGTATTTTGTTTCCTAAAAAGCAAATTTTGTAAAAAGTTCTCAATTACAATATTTAATTTTTAAAAATAAAAACTTGTTTCCAGGTATATCAGAACCACCGGTGGCGAAAAGTGGAAAACCTCTTCCAAGCGCACGCTTCGTCAGTGAACGAACATCCAGGCAAATCCCTACTGAACGTGCTAATGTAGTTCGTTTAGTTGGTGGATATCACCAATTCATAGCCCACGATCACAGTCTTAATGTATTACGTAAGTATCTTTATTTATTGTGCATTTTAAGATATTTTATATTTATATAACTTCATTTATCTATGTCCATAATATATAGTATTTCGAGCAATTACTAATAAAGGGAGCGTGAAAACGAGTTTGTAGGCGATTGTTGTGTTAGCAACATCTGTAGAGGAAGTGAGGAAGCGAGCACTAGGGGGAAGGTAAACATCCTTCTTTTTCAGTGGCGTATCATTTATCTATTAAAACACACATTGTCCAAACGTTTTAATTGTAAAAAAACTAAAAAATTTGCTTATTTTACTATTTTAAAATGAATACCGTCTTATATGTGTCTAATGCAGGAAATGAAACAAAATCACTGTAAAGGTCTAATTTTTTCAATTGAAAAATAAAATCTTAAAATAAATTTTATTATAAATAAATATATATAAATAAGCGACTAGTTTCGGCCTTACAGGAACATCTTCAGGCCTGTAATCTTTAATTATTATAATAGGTTGGTTACTTACGAATAACATTAAATAGTATAAACCACAAAAATGGATCCATATTGTAGCGTTACAGCATTATAGAATTAAAGCTGTGAAAATAAAAGAGCAGTGCAAACGTAACTAAAAATAAGAAAACTGAGTACGGAATCTACAAGAGAAGTAAGAATGAGCAATCACGAATGCATTTAAATTGCTCGGGATAACAAATAAAGCTGATAATGTAGTGGTATAGTCCCCGTCAAAGAAGGTCTGGATATGTTAAAGAGGACGGCGTTTTCTCTGTAAATCTGGAGAATGTAAGGATGGAGGGAAGACGAATCTTGCTGACTCAGGTGTAGATGGCTAGAAAAAGGAGCGTGTAGATGAAAGCTCCAGTAAATATCGTCACTTTCGTCTAATTTTTTATTCTCACTCAGCGTTTCGGCTTTATCTTCGAAATTCATTTTTAAAAGGAAATAAAAGTAATCATTCATACAAGCATATAATAAAACAACATGAATTCATTATATTTAATAATCTAATAAACGTTTGTTTCAAAGAAAAAAACATATATGTGAATATAAAAAATATATAAATAGATTAGATTAATATCAAAATCAATTTGAAAATACAACAGATAATAAAATGAAATAAATTATTACAAGTACAAATAGAAAGTTAATAACATACCTTCTAAAAGTAAGTAGATAAATGTTTAAAGAGTTTATTCCTGAACATACCTAATCTAACGTTTTTCTCCTTTTTAATATTATGAGGGTTTTTGTAGTTGAAATGGAAATTATAATTTGAAACGGTCGCTTGGTTAGTGGTACCGATATTGAAAATTATTTTGCTTGGTTATTTTTATGGTATAATGGTGGGTCAAATGAAAGTGTGGAGAATATAATTTAGTTAAAATTTCATGAGGTACCAGAGGATTAATTTCTAAACCTGAAAGACGTCAGGAACTTTTCGGATTTTTTTTTAAATTACATATTTCAGGCTCTAAATTATCTCTTAATTTTAGGTTCTAAGGGCGCATGTTGCACGCCTGATATGCATCCATTGGCACATACACCTGCGTTTTGTTTCAACATAGATGTACCCGATAATGACCCTGATTACTCTCAATACAATGTTAGTTGTATGCCCATAGTTAAAACAACAACAACTATTGACTTGGGTTGTACTGCAACAAACCCTAAACCATATGCAGATCAAGTAAGTATTTTTTTTACATTATATTAAAGTGTAAAGGTCTCGCTGTAATATGGTGATTAATTTTTGGTTTAGAATTTTTTCTAAAACAAATATTTTATGGATTAAAAAGGAATTTGTATAACTAACACTGTTGCTGTTTAAAGATTCTTCCGCGCGATGTGCTACCTATAAAATTTATGCAACCGTACTATATCCTGATCAAAAAGCGTACTGAATATTTGGGAAAGTTCTTTTATCTCTTTCAACGTTGTGTAGTCGTGTCAGAAAGATTTTTTCTTAGCTAGGCAATTCAAGAAGCTAATGGGACTTATAAATTTTGATGGTTTGTAACGTTTAAATTTGGCCTTTTAGCGGTTTTTCATAAAAATAGGAATAAGCTAGTTTTTATCCGTGTTCAGTAATTATTTAATGGGTCCTTCTATACCCGCATTTAAACCACTGTGCTTTTGGATCGATATGCGAACCACTGATTTTATCCTCACCGTCAAAAGCGTTTCAGGGCTGGTACTCTGTGTCATGTAGAATTCTACTTATCGTTTTCTAATAGAAATCGATTACTTTCTTTTGTGGCACTCTGTGTAACATAGCGGAAAACCAACGAGTATATACTTACTACAAGATAACTATTTTCATAAGAAACCACATTGCGATATTTCCCGTGCGGTTGATAACGTATTCATCACAAAAGAAAGTAATCGATTTCTATTATAGAAAGCGATAAGTAGAATTCTACATGACACAGAGTTCCTGCCCAGGGGTCCCTCTGCGACACTCTAGGTGAGCATGTGGCTGCCCTGTATTCAAGATGTCGGTCTAGCGTTTCCGCCCTGACGTTAATTGTGGGTATATGATCAGTTTGGGGTAGATTAGACCTCTTTTTGAGTTTAGTTAGGCTATTTATTTGGTTTTAGAGGTTTGTTTGGTTATTTTAACCCTTTCTGTTAAGAATTTATTTCGTAATAGAGGGCGCTGATGGGACACCTATTTGTCACTAAGGTATGTTGGTATTACTGGTTTGGGAGCTGTCAAGTGACGTTGTTCCGTCTTGCTTGGTATTTCGAGATAGATATTCCACACGTGGTTTGTTTGAAAGGTACTGTTTCGAAATTTATTGGAAGTCGTTTCAATCCATTTGGGATATTGCGAAGCAACCGTTTTGTTTTAAGTTTATAACAGTGTGGATTGGTAGTATTTTTGTATGGGTCTTACGTAAGCATTTCTAAGGCTATTAGGATAATATTGCATTTATACTATATTGTTATTAAACTACTGTTATTTAGTAAGATGTTTGTTATACCATCTGGACCTGGGGACTTCCTGTGACGTAACCTCCGCATATTTCGTTCCCCAGCTCTGATCTCTACATAATGCAATACAAACTCTATTGCAAACATATCTTTATATTATAGTATTCCGAAAATTAATTGTTCGATATTTATTAATCCTTTTCTCGTTTTAGATTTCAATGGTGACAGGTGGTCTTGATCTAAATATTGTGTACGGTGACACTGAAAGAGAAGCTAACGAATTACGTACGTTTAGTGAGGGCCGCTTGATAACTAGGAACGGGGGATATTTACCAATCAGACCAGGATGTGCCATTCCTTCTAATACTCCGCACGTTTGTTATAAAGGAGGTATGAAACAAATATAAAACTAGGTCATACACTTTATAAAAACTATATAATTATTTCATAAAGAACTATAGCAAAATAGTTATATGGAGGCAATCGCGCCTGACATTTATTAAAACAGTGTGTCATGTAACGATTAAATGGTGGTCTATGCCATCAAAAATCATAATAAATAAGAAGCTCAAAACAAAATAAATAGATATTTATTGTCGCGGCATCCAAAATCTCCTATCCTTTACTTCGTCAATACTCAGTCACACGATGCATGTCAAGACAGCTACAGGTGCTTAGTTTTTATTATTTCATTGTAAAAAACAGTAAGTTTTATTTAATATTTTTTGACAAATGCATATTTTATTAGGTATAGATCATTTTTATTTCATTATATATATATATATATATATATATATATATATATATATATATATATATATATATATATATATATATATATATATATATATCTACAAAGTATTACTGAGCCTCCCCCCATGTTAAATTTCAGGTTCACTGAGGCTCCGCTGTTACTGGGCTTCCGATATACGGATCCCCAGTGACAACCCATTGAAAATTGTTCCAGATGATGTAGACACCCTAAAACACCCATTAACACAAAAATCTCGAGGACGCCCATTTGAGCCGTTTTTTGATCCTGTATAAAATATTAGTTCAGGCGTTCGCCGCTTGGTGCGCTGCTAATATACATTTCGCTGTGTATAAGATGTTTAATGTTACATGTCAACTGGGCGCCTTAAGCTATTCGCTGCGCGCTTTTGGTTTGGCAACGTTGCAGTTGATTATATATACGTACTAGGAGGCTTGGTGATTTTGTCTCTCGACTCGGGTCAGTCTAAAAATTAAAATGAACTATTTTCGATCTTGAACGTGACAAGTACTACAGAGCGCCGTAGAAAATAAAATGCCACAATAAACATTTTTGTTTTAGAAAATGTTTAATAATTTTTTGGTTGATATTATTTAAATAATAAGGTTAGCACCTTGATTAGTACGTATATTTAGGCATTATTATAAAAGTAAATAAAAAGAAAATTCCAACTCAAATGTGATATATGACCAAGACGTAAAATAAAATAAGTAAACTTTTTATTTTAATTTAGTTTATTTTCTCATAATTCAATATATCTTGTAATCATCTTGTAATGACGTCAATGACAGTATTTTATAAATAGAACACCCTATATTTTTACCAATTTTACAAGAACAAGTTACGTATTGTATCAGGGATCCTTACTGGGCATTGCCCACTAAAAGGACACCTTAAGTAAACTAAGAGTAGTAGAATATAGTGAGCAGATTCTGTGAAGAGGAAGACAAAACCTCCATTCACATTCTGACAATGTGTAGCACTCCAAAATCCAAGGACACTATACCTAAGAGCATATTAAATAGAAGAGTGATATTTACCTAACTTGAAGCCACTCAAGGAAGATATGATTGGAAGGATCGTTGTAGGCATTGCGACATTTCCTTGCTGCATTAGCGACAAAAGGGGTACAATAAATATTTTAGGTCGTAGTGTTTTAGCACCCCATTCCCAACATAACATACAAATTTTTAAGCTTCCTTTTATTATGCTGATTTCAATTGTATCACCACTTGCTTCAAATTAATACAAAGAATTGTTTAAATTAGGTCGATTTTTATTCTAAGGCTGGCACATTTTTATCACATCCTAAACTGACACACAACATTCCCCTCTCCTCCTTCCCACTACTAACCAATACAATTTAAATAGAAAACGTACTAAGTATTACACATCAACGCAAATGTAATTTAATGAATAATTTTTAGAAATGTGACTGTTTATAGTGTTACTTTTGATTTTAGCGCCCTTTAGCACGATAAAAAAGTGGTACATATTGTTAAGTGTGACAGCTCATTTGAAAGCTTATTATAATAGTAATTTAATGTGCAGCATAATTTTGTTAATTTGGTTTATTGGGATTTTCATTACATTTATTTATTCTTAACCTTAATGGCAACAATCTATTTAAGTTCATGTTCCTTCGAATTGTTTTGTTACGTTGTCCTATAAATCATTAAAATTGACTTTCCACTGAAGTGTCGTATTGTGGATTATTCATTTTCATACATCCAAAATTAAAATATACCATTTCGAACTTTTCGTGTGGAATATAGAGATTTAAATAAATATAAGTATGCTTACATCCTTGAGACTCATTGCGATATGAGCTGTGCAGCGCACTACCTATTCAATGGCCTGACTCACGGTATGTACGACTTCCACCTCACTCCAACTTAAGTTCGTCCCTAATGGATTTCGCTTGTATGGTCCGCGTTTAGATTTTTGAAGATGTATACGGTACGACTAGGCCTCCAGCTGTGTTAATTTTCAGGTTCACATAGCCTCTGCTCTCGATTATACAATGCGGATCTAAAGTCCCTCCACCTCCTATTTATTTTTTGATCCGTCATGAGATATGAATTCATAAAAATCTTTGATTTTAAACGAGAATAATACAGTGCCAAAGGTTAAATATTTGTGGTACACCAGTTGATAGCATTGAACATTTAAAACAAAGAATTCATTATGAGTAAAAAGAAAAAATATTTTAGTTATATTGATATCATTGGAAAGGGTTTCAAATAATATATCACTTGCCATAACGGCTCCCGTCTGCCATTTTTAATGATTACGTCACCTAATATAATTAAAAAGGTAGTGTACATTCCTTGGTTTAGTTTCCCAAAATTTCAAATAAAAAAAATATATATATTCAGGTTTAAAGATACTAAATGGGGCAGTATACAAGTTTGTAATAGGTACACAAAAATAAATAAATATTTTTTAATGAAACTGTGGTTCTTTGTATATTAAGGTACTATAAGATATGTTCCTAATATACACTATATCTAGCGCTATATCTATAGAGTGTGACTGGGCCTCCAGCCTTGCTAGTTTTCAGGTTTATTGAGACTCCGCTATCAATTATATACGGATTCTACAGCAGAGTCTCAGTTAACCTAAAATGATTCATTTTTACTTTCCTATCTGTATACAGATATAAGGAAAGTAGAGGAATCATGATTTTTTTTGACCTCGAGTTTTCGACGGATTTTTACTTGAGGTCCCCTGAATCCGTTTTGACTATTTTTGCGATGATGTCTGTGTCTGTGTGTGTCTCTCTCTGTGTGTGTGTGTGTGTGTGTGTGTGTGTGTGTGTGTGTGTGTGTGTGTGTGTGTGTGTGTGTGTGTGTGTGTGTATGTGTGTGTGTGTGTGTGTGTGTGTATGTGTGCGTGTGTGTGTGTGTGTGTGTGTGTGTGTGTGTGTGTGTGTGTGTGTGTGTGTGTGTGTGTGTGTGTGTATGTGTGTATGTGTGTATGTGTGTATGTGTGTATGTGTGTATGTGTGTATGTGTGTATGTGTGTATGTGTGTGTGTGTGTGTGTGCGTGTGCGTGTGGGTGTGCGTGTGCGCGTGCGCGTGTGGGTGTGCGTGTGTGTCTGTGTGTCTGTATAACTCATGAACCGATACAACGAAAAACACCAAATTTTAAACTTAAGCTTTGTTTTAGCGTCCAATGAGCTGATTAGATTTTGGGCAGAGTCGGAACATCTGGGGGGATACTTTATAGGTGGTCATTTTTATATTTTATGGAATATATCTGTTATTTACGTTTGGAGAAGAAACTTCTTCAAATAATTATCTATAATTTTTGTTCTATGCAAAATTTTCCTAAAATGGTCCGTATTCGAGAAATTTGACAAAATGTAAAAAAAATAATTTTTTATAAAAATTGTTTAAATAAAAGTTGTTTGTAATATAATTCTCTATAATTTTTATTCTATACATAATTTCTCTAAAATGGACCGTATTCGAGATATTTGAGAAAATGTGTAAATTTCGAATTTGGAAGAAAACTCAAAAACTGATAAAGAAAAAAACATAAAATTTTAAACTTAAGGTTTATTTGGGCCTGACGTGAAATGATTAGATTTTGGACAAAGTCGAATCATCTGGGGGGATACTTTATGGGAGGCCGTTTTTATATTTTATGGAATATATCTGTTATTTATGTTTGGAGGAGAAAATTGTTCAAATAAAAGTTACTTCTAATATTATTATCTATAATTTTTGTTATATGTCAAATTTTCCTGAAATGGTCCGTATTCGAGAAATTTGACAAAATGTGCAAAATTCTGATTTTTATGAAAATTGTTGAACTAAAAGTTGTTTGCGATATCGATCTCTATAATTTTTGTTTATACATGATTTTTCTGAAATGGACCGTAATGGAAAAGTGCTAAATTTAAATTTTTCAGTATTTTCGTTTTCAATGAATATCTATAGAAAAATGTTTCGAGGTAGATATATGTGGACAATGTATATATTTGGTTTATCCTCCTCTAAACATTTATAGAAGTGCTGCAATAGGTTGTACAAAATAACCGGAAAAGCCTATAATAACTAGATAGAAAAGTCATGTGTTGGACACATCAGATTTTTAAATATAGGAAATGGGAGAATATAAAAGTGTGGAATAGGTACGCAAAAAAGTGTTGAATATTTGCTACATAGGAGTTTGAATTTTTATTTTTCTTTTTATGGCTTTTTTTTAGTGCAAATATGACATGTTTATTTACGTGTTTGTTTTTATTTTTTCATGAATTTTTTATAAATAAATATTTTTTAATGGAACTGTGGTTCTTTATATATTAAGGTACTATATACGTCCTAATATATATATACCTAAACTATATATCTCGCTATATTTATAAAGTGCGACTGGGCCTCCAGCCGTGTTAATTTTTAGGTTCACTGAGACTCCGCTGTTAATAATATATGGACTCTACAGCAGAGTCTTAGAGAGCCTAAAAATTAACAAGGTGGGCCCAGTCGTACCGTATGGATATATAATGAGAATGTTTACTCATCAGTAAGCTTTAAGGATTTTTTTTTGAATTCGTTTAAAAATTTATATTATGTAGTAAGAAACTATTAACAGATTTCTATAATTTTTTAACCAGTTTTAAATATACAGTGAGTCCACTTAAGTACGCAGTATATTAAAAACTTTTTTATTATTAAATTAACGAGAAAAAGTTATTCTTCATAAAAAGTTCTACATTGTTTAAAACCTAAAACCATCAGATATTTTATTTTATAAATTATTTTTAGTACCTTCTGGTAATCTATGTAGACGTAAATGTTTCAATCTATATTTTTGTTCTTGTTCATCAAATTTATCATGTAGATTTTTATTTTCTTTAAAGCGTACTGATATATTATTCATTGATGTGATTTTATAATTTACTTCTTTTAAATGTTCTTCAATTGTTGTTAAAACAATATCGGTCATTGTTTAGCCAGATCTTTTAAAACCTTATATGTAATAATAATATCGGCAAAAAATTTCTGAGAGGTATCTGTAACAACATTATTTAATTTTTTGTCTTTTTGTAAACACCATTATTACATTTATGAAAACAAAAATTTTAATTTTAAACTAGTATTGAGCAAAAAAGTCATTATAATATATACACACAAAACTTGAGAAGACTTAAAAAGAATAGAACTATTGCAATTGGTTTGCCGGCAGAAACGACGAATTCGCATACTACTCGCTAAGAAGGTTTATCTTCAACGGGTTATTATTATTTTAAATAAAAACATATGGTCTGAGTAATTAGGTTTTTCTTCCTTCTGCTAAATAAATTATTAAAAAGTGGCAACAGTGCTTGGAGTCTCAGTAAATACATTATCTATAGTAAGAGGAGGCGCATTAACATAAACAGTGTCAAAACATATGTCAAATGTATATAGTGGACGTTACGTTGACCTATCCAACTAATGGTAGTTGAATTAGTCTTTACAAATAACGGTGTATATAATGGCGTATATACGGTGGAGTTTTGGTAGGCCATTTATGGAATGGAGTCCCAGTAATGCCACGTAGCTAGATATATATATATATATATATATATATATATATATATATATATATATATATATATATATATATATATATATATATATAAGAGAAGGTTTAGGGCGGTGAAAAAATGTAAAAGATAAAAGGATTATTGGGCAAATACAGCAAAAAATGAAAAAAAAATGCCTAAAGGCAAACCGTAGACACGTGTTTCTGACTATTGGTCTTCATCAGTACGGTGCAGCCAAGTTCAAAAGAGAATGGAACTAGGATGAAATCAAATCAATAGGAGATCAGAAAAGACCGTACCACTAGTACGTCATCCTCCATCCGCCATCATAAATATTACAGGTAATATAAATAAAAAAATATGGATGTAATGTAAATAAATATATCTATAAGCTTTTAATTTAAATAAACCTAAATATATACATATTATTTACAATTGTCTAATAGTTCATCGCAAACTGGTATTATGCGTTTAAGGTGACTTATATTTAAACGTAGAATAATATAGGTATATTAACTAGTATCGACAAACAAAAGCGTTTAAGTTATCTGTTAAAAAAGTATAAACATGGTAGATGGTAAACGTTTAAAAAATCAACCAAGACGAAATTTAAACGGGAATTATAAACGAAGAAAACATTGTAATATAATGTAAATTTATACGAATTTAATTTAAATAAACCTAAACGTATATTTAGGCCCACTGTATATAAATAGTTCATCGCAAACTAAAAATAGTCTTATATTGTTAACTATATTTAAACGTAGAAAAATTTACAATTATATACCATAGGATGTATACATAAAAAACGTATAATATATCGTTTAAAACACGATATGTATAGTAATCGTAAACTGTAAATGTATACGGAATCAACCAATACCAAAATTAAACGAGTATTACGTATAAAATACGTTAGTTATACTAATGTGTGCTGCCTGGGTGCGGCTGGAAGGAAAAGCATACTTGGGGTTTAAAAAAGAAGAAGCTAAAATTAAGCAAAACTGCCAACGCTTGGCAAGATCGCTAAAGCCAGTCTGTATTTTACCAGTATGCAAAAATTCTAAAAAAAGATTTCGTTCACAATTTAGTGAGGAATGCAGAAAAAAGATTTTTAAGAAATTTTAAAAAGAAAGTAATTGGGAGCAACGAAAAACTTTTGTTTCTTCTTACGTATTAAAAACCAACGTTGCAAGGACGTCAAGTGAAACTTCTGGAAGACAGGGAACTTTTGTTTACTTTTTGAATAACGGAGAAAAAAACTTCCAGTGTGCCGCACGATGTTTATTAATACGCTAAATATTGGCTACAAAACTGTGCAAGAATGGGTGAATAAAAGCTCTTATGGTATGGCAGCCCAATCTCATGTAAAAAACTACGTCAAAACTCGTTTCGTGGAAGGGTATCAACATCTAAATAATTTCTTTTAACAATTGCCAAAATTACCCGCACATTACTGCCACAAGGATACATTAAAGTTATACTTAGAGACTTATTTTCAAACGGTAAGTGATTTGTACAAAGTTTATCAAGAATATTGCAAAGAACAGGGGCGTCCTTCAATGAGTAGAAATATATTTAACAAAGTCTTTCACGAAAAAAATCTCTCACTTTCCGGCAAAAAAAAGACCAGTGCAACACCTGTTTTTTCGTATAAAAATGAAACTGAAGCGAAGTGAAAAATTCATAAGGACAATAAAGAAAAGGCTAGGAAGGCAAAGAATTAGTTGAAAAGGGGAAAATTGTGGCATTAACAATGGACTTACAGGCAGTCAAACTAGCTCCATTTTTGCCAGCTGGAAAAAGAATTATTGATGAACATACATAAAAAAAATTTAAAAAAATATTGCGACGAATTGAGAACCTCCCTCCTCCTTTTTTGAAGTCGGTTGAAAATAGGAGTAAAATTTTATATAAAAATAGGTCCGAAAACGTTTCGTTTTCAAGATACAGGGTGTTACAAGTGAAGTCCGGATGAAACATTTTTGTAAATATTTTCTAAAATTTCTTTAGTTACCAATTTTTCAAAGTTAAAAAAAATAAATTTCTAATTCTACAAATGTAGCTTTATTATACAGAAAATACTGGTTTTTCCAAATTTTATAGTCAAAAAATCTGATGTGTCCAACACGTGACTTTCCTATCTAGTTAATATAGGCTTTTTCTGGTTATTTTGTACAACTTATTGCAGTACCTTTATAAATGTTTAGAGGATAAACTAAATATATACATTTTCCACATACATCTACCTCGAAACATTTTTCTATAGTTATTCATTGAAAACGAAAGTACTTCAAAACTCAAAATTTACACATTTTCTCAAATATCTCGAATACGGTCCATTTTAGAGAAATTATGTATAGAATAAAAACTATAGAGAATTATATTTCAAACAACTTTTATTTAAAATTTTTTTATAAAAAATATTTGTTTTATATTTTGTTAAATTTCTCGAATACGAACCATTTTAGAAAAATTTTGTATGGAACAAAAATTATAGATAATAATATTAGACGTAAGTTTTATTTGAAGAATTTTCTCTTATAACCTAAATAACAGATATATTCCATAAAATATAAAAATGACCACCTATGAAGTACCCCCCCCCCCCCCCCAGATGTTCCGACTCTGCTCAAAATCTAATTATTTCATTGAACGCTGAAATAAAGCTTAAGTTTAAAATTTAGTGTTTTCTGTGTATCGGTTCATGAGTTATGGTGGATATAGACACACAGACACACACGGCAATTACCCTAAGCTCCCCTTAATTTACTTACCTAAGAAGATGATCAATAACTGGGGTTTAGTCCAATAAATGAAGCGTAAAAAGGTAAGTATTTGTAACAAATTTTACCAAATTATCTTTAAACGTTTAGAAAATATTTACAAAAGTGTGGTATCGCGACTTCACCTTTAACACCCTGTATCTCGGAAAAGAACAGTTTTCGGACCTATGTTTATAATAACTTTTACTACTATTTTAGGATGTAGATTACGCTGTTAAAATATGACCGTCTAATTTCGGGACACCCTGTATATCATCTATAACTATCAATAAATAAAAAATATTTGAGTTGTTTGGTTTAAAAATAGTATTCCTAAATTCCTATAATATTAACAAGCCACTAACCCCCAGTAGGCGGCGATATCCAACGAATTATACCTGAATTGTAATCGGAACCTACCCAATATGATTATTCTTCATCGCACGACACACAACATTGCCAAATTTATGTAGCGAACAAGGTTCCAAATACTTTAAGGGGAGGTCATGAGATCCGTGCGGTGTGACGTCAGAAGGGACTGGATTGCTCTTAAGAGCCGTAAAAAAGTTTTTTGTGTTCCCTGTAAAGTTTGTCAATTATCAGATAGGAGGTTTTGCCAGGTCGACCGCGATTTGCCTATTGGTATAAGAAAAACTCGTAATAAAAGCTATAGTAGACCAGGCGATAGTAAAGTTCGAACCAACGACCTTCACTTAGTTTAATATAATTGATTTTCGACTGGGTATTCAATTACGGTGTCGCCATCTATTAGCTGTACCCATTTAGATCCAACTATAAGTATATTAGGTTGTACTACTAGTTCACAAAGACATAACTAATTTTAATGCTCGTTTTATATACTAGTCGCAATTTCAACAGATTTTTGATAAGCGATTAAAATGGTAAAGAAATTAATACTGATTTAGGTATTGCATTTGATTCCATATTAACTTTTAATGATCATATTAAATCGCAAAAAAAGCTTGAATCTGTATTCTCTATTCGTATAAAATGTATGTTTCTATTTAGAATTTTATGCCTTTCAGAAATAATACATCCTTTTAGGACATTGTATACGTTATTCAAACGGAGAAATTATACCTGATGTCTTATTTTTTTTAGGTGACTTTTATAGACTCAACCAGAATTTAGACGTTACCATCAAACATATTATATGGGTTAGACTTCACGAGTGGTGTTGCGACCGTATGGTATCAATAAATCCACATTGGAACGATGAAAAGATTTACCAAGAATGCAGAAAACTTAGTATTGCGATACATCAGCATCTTGCTTTCAACGAAGTGTTCCCTGCCATTATCAGACGCAAAGCTATGAAGAACAGAAATCTTCTTTATCCATACAAGTTGTTCAATAGATCTAAATACGATCCTTCTTGCGAACTTAATCCATTGACTGAGTTTGCTAATGGGGCTTACAGAATATTGCATGCTGTTATTGTTGCATGCTTGAAGTAAGTGAAAAGTTTATACTATCTATCCATACTTTCTTTTCTTCTTTAATTTTGTGGTTCTATTCATAAACGACAAAATTATTCAAACAGACTCCTAGAAGTCATTCTTAGTCTTACTTTTCTTGAGATTTATATTAAAAAGGTTGTTCTGATGACAATGGCAAGACTCCGTACGATTAGAACAGAACCTGATATAGATTCTGATGAGTCAAGACGTTATTTTTGGTGGAAGGAGTTTGATATGCTTCTTCAGCTTTAAATGGACATTTCACCTCATATATATTCTTTACAATTACCTGACTCATTTAAATAACTTTCCAGCGAGTTTTGACTAACATCAGCCGTTAAAACTACATCAAATCTATAGGATAGTTGACGAGCTCAAAATGGTCTATTAATTTACTAGGATGTACAATGGGTCTAGTGTCCACCACGTATTTGTAAAAAAAATATTAGTAAGATGAATTTTTAACAAACCAATCTCCAACTGACACGAAAACAATTTAATGCCTTTGTATTGAGTTTTTCAAAGAAGTCTTTAGGTTATCTGAAGCAATTTATACTACCTGAACCAGGTAGTAATTGGTCTTTTAAAATCTTTATCGAGTTGTAGAATCTTTGGATCAATAGACCCGTTAAAATATTATGTAGCCCAAATGGGTGACATTTTTTAACTGGTATTTTAAACTTGCATTGAGAAATTTAGAATACGGAAATTTGCGTTAATGTCTTTCTAGCTAAAAGTTATAAGAAACTCCAAAATTGACTGCAGTTATTTTATCTATGCATGCTGAGTTAAATCATCTTTACTTGACTAAGTCAAGGTTGAAACTACATAAACACCCTTGTTTGCCTGAATACCCATGAAAAAGTTACTTTGATCTGGGTTCCGGGACACAGCGGTGTAAAGGGCAATAAAAAGCCGACACGATTACTAAATAAAGCGGAATTGAATCTGAGTTGACCATTCCTTGGAATTGCAATGGAATTATCTTTAAACAACACAAGGTGTAACGTTGGACTATGAGTTAGACATAAGCTACATTAGATCCATTTGGGTTAAGTGGAAGGCTATGAGATCATCTCACTTTTGTTCAACCTAACCTAGTCTAGGTATAAAATATTTGAGTTGGCTAAAATATTGTTGCACTGGTTTTTGATATCACAATTTATTTCAACTTTACAATAACTCAATTCAACTTTAACAATAACTATCCAACTGATAACATTAACATATGTAACATCTATCATAAAACTGAAAAACTGACGTCAGGATCCCTACTTATATAGCTTGCTTTAATCTTCTCGAATATTCCCGAACTGTCCAGACTTTTCCATGACGTGGAATGACATTTCCAGACATTTCTGGAATATTCTATCTTCTTTTACTAGTTTTTTTACTTATGACGACCGCAGCACACTGTAGGACGATGAGTAACATTGCACTTCTTTTTTTGTATTCGTTTCCTATAACAGCCGCAGGCTACTGCAGGGTGCTGCGTAACATTGCACCCTCTTCTCTAGTGACTCGCCCCGAATAACTTGATTTCCGGGACCTGGATGAAGCCAACGAGGAAAATCCGGACCACGATATAGCGCTAACTTTTCAATGTGAACTACCTTGGGTTTACATCCCGCTGACAACTGAATTCGGTAAATCAGGCCATTGATTTTCTTGAGGACTTGGTGTATTTTACTAATAGTAGGTTGGCCCTACTGTTTTCAACTTCCGCTGCTATCGAGCAGTGCGCAAGCATTGTGACGCGACATACCCATGTGGATCTTTGTGATTATAACCAACAAAATATACGCACAAGTTAATAACTATAATTTAGTGTTTCATTTAAATAACTAATATAAACATACATAACAAATTGGCGACGATTTTGCGTTCTGAAGTGGTAATAAACGTTATACAGTGCAAGTTTCTGTAAATTTAGTGAATGAAGTGTCATATTCGGACATAATGACATCAGAAACCGGAACAATAGGACATTTACGAGAGTTTTGCTTGAACAGTTCGGATTGGACTATATTTAGGGCTCGTTTAGAAAACTATTTCAATGCAAATGGTATTAAAATTGACGGTGAGGATGCCAGTAAAAGGCGAAGTATTTTGCTAAATATTCTAGACGAGGCAGCGTACAAATTGGTTTTCGATTTGGTTAGTCCAGCTAAACCGGAAGAAAAAACATACAAGCAGTTAGTCGATATCCTAAACAGTCATTTCAAGCCGCAACACAGTCCATTTGCCGCGCGATACAAATCTTACACGGCGATGAAAGAACCGGAAGAGACAGCAAATCAGTGGGCTGCACGAATAAGAGGATTAGCAGTGGGCTGCGAGTTTGGAGCAGAGCTAAAAATATGTCTCCGAGATCGATTTGTGTTCGGATTTAACAAAGGACCTATCTTGGATCGCTTAATGAAAGAAAAAGTGACAGAGGAGTTTGAAAAAATGGTAATCTTAGCAGCGACCAAGATGGCTGCTAAAGATTTTCAACAAATTACCGTCAAAGAAGAACCGGTAAATTTTATGAAGAAGGCAAATAGTGGGGCATCATTGATGTGCGACTACCAGAGCGCAGGAACCAGCGGAGCACGACCAAGGCGCGCACCACGTCATCAGAACTACCGGAGAGGGAACGATCACAGCACCACAAACTGCGAAGTTTGTGGCAGGGATAACCATACTAAAGATAAGTGTTTTTATAAAAATGCCATTTGTTTACATTGTCAAAAGGTCGGTCACATTGCAGCTGTTTGTAAATATAAAAACAATTCAGGCAATAGCAAGGCGGAATTTAATAAATATAATAATAAGTACACTGCCCGCAATGTGACAGGTCACAATTATATTCAGGAAAATAGTGAAACTGATGAAAATGATGATCATTGTTTGTATAATATTTCAGATATTACGATATTAAAGGGACCTTTTAATATTTTTGTTAGAGTCGAAAATATAAAACTGGAATTTCAAATAGATTCTGGTAGCGGTATTTCTTGTTTTTCTTACGATTTATATTGTAAAAATTTTAGTAATATTCCCTTGCAATGCTCTAATAAATGTTTTTTGTTTTATAACGGCATTAAGGTTAAACCAGTGGGGGTCATACAAGCAAAAATATTTTTTAGAGGTCAGTTAAAATGTTTAGATTTTTACATTATGGAAAATGGGGGTCCTCCAATAGTTGGTCGAGATTTTTTAACACTTTATGACATTGGATTTTCTAATTTAAATTACATACATAGTGTTCAAAATAAGTTAGAAGAGTTAACTAATCAATTTCAAGAAGTTTTCTCTCCTGGGCTAGGACATTTTAATAAAGGAATGGCAAAGATTAACTTAAAAAAATCCAAACGTTTTACCTAAATTTGTAAAGGCTAGACCAATTCCATTCGCAATAAAAAATCAAGTAGAAGACGAAATTAATAGGTTATTTTCTTTAGGTATAATTGCTCCTGTAAACTACAGTGCATGGGCGACCCCAGTTGTACCAGTTTTTAAAAAGAATGGCCAAGTTCGACTTTGTGGAGATTTCAAAGTCACTGTCAATCCAGAAATAGAAGTAGACCAGTACCCCTTACCAAGAATAGAAGAGCTTTTTAGCAGTCTAGAGGGAGGCACAGAATTTTCAAAGCTGGACTTATCATAAGCTTTTCAACAAATTGAGGTGGATGATGCGAGCAAGGAGCTACTAACCATATCAACTCATAAAGGTTTATATAGGTATAATCGTTTAACTTTTGGGGTTGCATGTGCCCCAGCCAAATTTCAAAAAATTATGGATTCTTTGTTGAGCAGCTTATCTGGGGTAGCTGTATTTCAGGACGATATACTTGTTACAGGCAGAAATCAAAACGAGCATTTAAAAAGATTAAAAGTAGTTTTATCTGTATTAAAAGATGCAGGTTTAAAGGTTAATTTAGACAAATGTAAATTTTTCCAAGCTAAAGTTGAATATGTTGGTTTTATTATTGATAAAGAAGGGCTACTTCCTTCAACAGAAAAGGCAAGGGCTATTGAGTTAGCACCTGAACCTAAAAATGTTACTGAGCTTAAATCGTTTCTAGGTACTATAAATTATTATGGTCGGTTTATAAAAAATATGTCAACAATTTTAAGTCCTTTATATCATTTGTTGCAATCAAACGTTTCTTGGAACTGGACAGAAAACTGTAAAGTGGCATTTAAAAAGGTTAAAGATATTTTAGCATCCCCTAATGTCTTAGTTCATTTTAATCCCGAGTTAGAGTTGAAGTTAACGGTAGATGCAAGTTCCGTGGGAATAGGAGCCGTGTTAAGTCATAAATTTGAGTCTGGGGTAGAAAGACCGATTGCTTTCGCGTCAAAAACACTGTCTAAGGCAGAAACTAACTATTCTCAAATAGAAAAGGAGGCTTTATCAATCATATATGGGGTAACTAAGTTCAATCAATACCTGTATGCCAAACATTTTGTTTTGGTAACCGATCATAAGCCACTTTTATCTATATTCAGTCCTAGTAAATCGATACCTCAATTTTCTGCTAATAGACTGAGACGTTGAGCAGTAATTTTATCTGGGTATAACCAGAGATAACAGAGATATAAGAAGTCATTCATAAAATATAATATTCATGATGCCAAGAACAGTTCGCACTCAAAACATTCTATTTCTAGACGCGGGGCGAGGCGACGAAAGGTGAGAAGTAAAAGAAGGGATACAGTGAAGAATTTTACATAGTTTTATCAATGAATTACTGCCCGAGCTTTTACTACTTAACGTAACTTTTCTTGCCGGTGTAAGCCCTGTTGCCACTTCCAATCTAACATCACTAGGTTTTGGAATTTTTTGAAAATTATTACATCTAATTTAATGAAATTACATCTAATTTGGTTAAAAATGCCTATTTTTTGTTCTAATGCTCAATTAAGTCTTTGTAGGAAGTATTTTTTTTATAATTATTTAAAAAAAATAATTTACATTAGCCCTTATGATCGAAAAAAAATTTAA